AAAATTGAATGATCGACATCTAAATTATCATATGATCAACATTTGGAACCCCTGTAAAAGGACATGTCCTGTGACTGATAACGATAATGCATGTTAATTGTGTAATACAGAACGTAATAATTTTAATAATTTAGTAAGCTTTAATACTGACCCGTTTGACCCGGGTTAGGTCAATTTTTGACCCGTGACCCGTCAAATTTCTGACCCGTACGGGTCAACCCACCCGGGTCATAGCTCTACTCTCTCGTACGACCTCTATGTCATACGTGCCGTCTGCATCATTATATATAACACAAACACGTAAGAATGACATTTTTTGTTGACCAACTCAATCTTTTACCAACCTTTTACCAGCTCAATCTTTTATTGCAATCTTTTATTACCAACTCACATTTTACCACTATATTCTCATGAAATATATTACTACTAAAAGACTTTTCAAGAGAAAATATCAAGTGAGTATATTCTAGTAATAGTAAGCCCCTCCCTTTCCTTTGGGTTGCCTTTACGAGGACACTTTTGTGAGATCTTTTTGGCACAGTGAAGGGGTGTGTTACATGTTCCATAAAAGTGAATTCCGTTCGGCTCACTATTGGCAAGGTGGTTCGTTCGTAGCGCCGTAAAGGATTAACAGTCCAATGAAGTTCTTTGGATAAGGCCTACCAATTCTGAAGGAAGAATCGGTTACGTTTATTCCTTATTATAAGAAGAACTTAGCTTTATAAGGTCTACCGATTCTGGAGGAAGAATCGTTTATGTTTATTCCTTATTATAACTTAGCTTTATATACTAGAAATATTTACTTAATGAGCGTTTCATTAATAAATCTTATGTTGTCTTTTATTTATTAGCCTGATAATGAACATACAAACGAAAATAATGAACCACTGTCATCTATAAACGAAACATTATCTCCCCAAAATGATAAAGAAAATTTACCGCCTTCCTCATCAACCAATAATTTACCATTTCCTTCATCTTGCCCTTTGGACAAGAATAAAGAAAAACGATCAAAGTACAAAGAAGGTTAGTAAGATACATAAAACGGCATCATTTTTTACATAGCACTAATTTAATTCCTTTTTTTTTCATTGTAGAATACCAAAAAACAATTAAATATTCCCTTAATGCTGATAGTCCTTCAACAGCTGCAAAGCCGGAATTTTTTTTTAGAACACAAGAAACGCATCCAATTTTCAATGGCCGACCACCAAAAAACACTAGTCCGCCAATATTCCTTTTTAATAGTGTTTTTGGAAAGTTTCTAAATGATTACGAAAATGAAACTTTAGAAATTCCTTCAGACATTTATACGTGGACGCAAGATCTTATAGATGGTGCCACTAAATATTATGAATTGGAATGTAACCGAGCCAAAGCGTTCGGGGAGAGGCTTTCAGAAAGGATTATACCTATAATCGTGCAGCAATATAAGGGCAAAAGGGCGTGCGATGGTTTAGCATTTGTCAAAGTCGAAAATTTTCTCGCATATCAATTATTTCTCGAAGTAAAGAATGAGCTTGGATCAGGTGGGTGTGATCCAACCGTTCAAGGTGCTATATATTATAGGGACCACTGGACACAAAAAAGTGTAACTATATTAATCTCTTTTTTTTTTTTTAGTACTACTGTATTTATTCATAATCATATGTTTATTTGAATGTTTTTCTACAGTCCATTAAAATATGCGAAAGTTGTTGTGCGCCCTCATTCATAATTGTTATGTCTGGGTCATGGCTATGCATTCTTGGTTGTGTATTTCTAGAAAATGTGGTAATTCAACCATTGACAGATTTTATTCCATTAACAGTAAACATGGAAAACTTTGATCAAATAAGGAAAATTGCGCGACTTTTCCAAGCATTGCACATTGCTTTATGCCGACTTGAAAATTTTTATAGGGGCTTGGACGTGGTCTCGAACGATCAAAAATTTTTTCCTTATATTAATAGCTATCAAACCGATGACAAAATTGTTTCATTCATCTATCACTACCAGTTAAAATCAACATTGGCCTGGAAGGCCGAAACGACAGATGGTCGTATGATTGTCATAAGATTCCTACAGGAATATAACACCGAAGCACACGAATTCTGTGCACAGAAAAGGCTTGCACCAGAACTCTTACACGTCAGCAATTCTGAAGATCTTAGGAAATTCCAGATAGTCATAACAGACTTTGCCCCTGGTATTATTCTAAATAAAAAGGACAAAATAGACCCGAAGTTTTACCAGGACATTTATGAAAATGTGGAATATATTATAAATTTATTGCACGAAAAGAACTTCGTGCTTGCCAATCTTAAACCTACAAATATTCTTACGAACAACATAAATGGAAAACAGGAAGCAATGTTAATTTCTTTTGATTGGTGCGGTAAACACCAGGTGAAGAAATATCCACCGTCAATGAAAAATTATGATATGCCATCAGGCGTGAAACCGGGAGCTTTACTTGATAAAGCACACGATACGTAATGAAAAACGGGTACAAATCGGGAGACAAATCTCCCAGTATGTACCCGTTATTCTACCATAGATCCGCCAAATAACTGTAGCATCTCGGTAGCATATT